ATACGTTATGTGTGTGTGTGTGTGTGCTTTAGCATCAGAAAGAGCTAAAACCGTATGTGTAATAGCCGTCTCTCATTTGCTGCAGAATATAATATGTGGATAATGAGAGTACGTGCGTCCAAACATGCTGGTGATCTATCCACGACTGGCTTTACATACATCAGTGTTCCGTTTTAATGGGTGTCTACGTTGTTCTTTTCAAACAAATATAGACCTCACACTTGGTTGTCGACTTATAACATAATCTCATAATATGTAGGGCATTTACTATACGAAAATAGTTATTTACCCAACAAGTGCGGAAAGCCGCCAAGTGCGCACTTTCCGCAAGTGTTAGGTATAAGAATTTTTCTAACAGCAAAGCGCGAGAAATAAACCCAGAATTTTAAATACGTACTGTTTTTTTAGAAATTTAGTAATTGTAAAATCAACAACAACAACATCAATAATTCATTTATAACAATTATTAACAATATTAAAAGTAAAAGAACAGTTATTTGGATTATGAAAACTTGAAAGCGTTCTCGAGAATTTTGCGTGCGGAAAAGTGCTACCTTCTGCACGCAGATGTGTGTTGAAAGTGAGTAGGTACTTTTCGCATGCTGGTAGAAAAAATGATTTACATCATATTGAATCATCATCATCAATCATCAAACCAGCGCTCCCATTTCTCATTCTAAATAGAATCACACAACGTTTCCTAGCTTGTCTTCGGCTGCAAATGTGTGCTCTTTGGAAACGGAAAAAGGCCGAAATAGCATGGCATCAAGTTATGGCTATATAGAAAATGATATAGCAGTTTGATTCCAGATTCTTCGAACAACTGTGAGCTATCTGGGCGCAATACACTGGAACGTTGTCGATAGGAAGGTACCACAGGCAAAGCGGCCTTCGTCTATATACTATTTAGCTGTGACCAAAAACAATATTGCTACCTATCTTGATTTTCTGAAAAAAAAAATCATTTTCTTTCCAATCGACCGCGGCTTTTTTGGCATCTATCGACTGATCTTCATTTTCGAATACCCAGACCCGACTTTTTCAATTGGTTGTAAGGTCACAAAAATATATTCAACTTTCCTAACCTTGGATGCTTGAATTTAGGATACCGTTAATAGCTACTTTTTAACGGCAAAATTGGGGAGTTTCTGTATCAACTGTTGTTTGTTGGAAATATGTGGACAACTATATAAACTTTCATTTGATGTACCAGAAATCTGTCAGTATTTATATTTAATGTAAACAGTGAGCAGATTACTATCTTTAGCTTCACTTCTTTATATTAGTATGGAAACAAATATATCGAAACGGTTCGCAATGCCAAGGACCAGAACAATCCAAAAATTAGGCACAGGATATTGTCGCAGCGCAATGGTAGTCGTTCTTGCTGAACACTGCCCAAACAGATTGACAGGAACTTCCACCACTCACGTTTCAGGATGGAACGATTGTAACTGACTCAAAGGCTAAGGCGGAAATGCTTGCCCAGATATTTGCTGCCAACTCCACCATGGACAGTGCCGTCGATTCACTATGCCGAAAATAACATTCTGGCATCAGAAGACAGGTTCTCTTGTCGCTCGACATCAATAGAGGTTCGGACTTGAATCCGGCCGTTGTATTGAAGAGGTGTGCAGGGGGGCTTGCTTCATAAATGTGCTCATGTCTAACCCATCTATCCCAAAAAAGGGATCTAAGGGATGTAAATTCAGGCCTATAGCTCTGCTCTCTGTTATATGTAGGGTGATGGAGAGATGCATAAATCGCGAACTTCTGGACCACCTTTATCGTCACAGCTTGATTAGCGACAGGCAGTATGGTTTCCGGCACCAGCGATTCACGGTGCTCTTGATATCACGAAAGCATTCGATCAGCTATGGTATACTGTCCTCTTATGCAAACTTCCAGCCTGTGGCCTCTGTGGCAGCAAGACATCCGTCGTAATTGACGGGATCTCCTTTTTCATCCCACAACATCAACGCAGGTGATAGATCTCGGCTCCGAAACTGTTCCTCTTACATAGCAACGACCTCCTTTTCTGTACAATGAATCCAATTCACAGCTTTGCATCATCAGACAGTACTCTACATGAGACTAGCAGGGATTTCCCCTCTGACCAGAGGCCTGGAGATTATCACTGATTGGGGACGCAACAAGCTTGTACAGTTTAATGGTTCCAAAACATAGCTCTGTACCTTGACGAACCAAAAGCGTCTTCGCGCCCATTCAGCGACTGCTGCTGGGAAAAAGCTAGGCTATTTATTTAGGGCTAAGAAGTACTTTTCTCCGTAAGACCTCCTCAATGTATACAAGACCCAGATAAGACCCTACCTCGAGTGTTGCTCACACGTTTGGGGTACTGCCGCCCAGACTACATTATTCATGCTCGATGCTGTCCGACTGATCTAAAAGACAAACTCGGGATCCTTTTACACCGGCGGGCCGTCGGCGATCTAGCTCTCTCCTACTGCTATGTCAACGGACTTTGCTCCTCAGAGCTCTCTTCCATGACGCCGCTGCGCGATGTGCCTGCCAGACAAACCCGCCCACCTTCAGCCTCTCTTCCTAACCGAGTCGAACTTCGTACATCTAGAATTCGTCGATACAACCGCTCCTTTGTCCCTCGGGCATCGAGATCGTGGACAATCTACAACAGGATGCTTTTAGCAGTTCTACTGACCGTAGGAAGGTTCAAAAGTCGGTTAAAAAAATTTCTTTGGGATCCTCATAGCAGCTGCGGTGTCCTGGCATTTAGGCTTCTGCCTGGGAGACTCCTTTGGTGTCAAGAAAATATGCCGTAGAAATGTATTTTTGTACCCTTTTTGGTATTCTAGACAATGTGGGCCTACCTGAACTTAAATCGGCAATTAAATTAAATAAGCTAGTGTGGAAATTTAAAGTTCCTCCAAACAGTTTGCATTCCATAGGAGCCAATTTTCTGCAACACTAGGACTAGCATGGAATCCAGGGACTTTTACGTTTTCGCAGAAAAACATGAATTTCATGTGAAATGTCAACACCTGCCAAAGTAGCGGGTTAAGTCTGATGGACTTTTGTCCTGACTATCCACTATCAGATTTTGGATACATCAAATCGTAGTCTTGCTCTTTCTTCCTAGTCTGGATTCGCTGGTTGCCACTATTAAGTTACATCAAGCAAGCGCGCCTTTATTTTGAAAAAGTTGAATGGTACACTCCCTTGACTGTCTATATATCACTTCAACCGTAAAATAGGTGCTAAATTAACTTGGATAATTATTCTCTAACAGTTATTACCTGCCAGAAAAGCCAGCATGCCCACGCAGGGCTGTCCACTTCAAACGTATGTGCCAGGAAGCCTCGCGTTATACGTTATACCTGCTAGGTATTATTCTGATTTTGTTTCTCAATGTTTTTGAGAAAAGTTGCGTGAAAGGAAGGTACAGGGTGAATACCTCCTGCAGTTCCTTTACATGTCAAGAGATCAAAAACTGTCAAATCGACAGAACACTATGACTTTCTGGTCAAATGAAGCAACATGCACAGTTATGACGCACGGTATCTAAAAAAGCTAATTACGGAAATTGCAGCCTGCTCCTCATTCGGAACATATTTTTGCAGTTTGCAAGATGAACGATTTCTCGAAATCTTCAAATGTAACGCCCTGTATATTTTTGCATTCATTGTTCCCCATTTTCTGATATAATGCTTATTGGAGTTTGTACGTCTAGTTTTTGAATTACAGCTAACCTTTTTATAAATGAAGGTAAATGAAAAATATTACAATACGATAGATCATTAGAGTTAAAGCACTGCCTTCATTTGTAAACCACGCGGCACAGAATATGGGAAAGGGGGTACAGTGAAATTGGCTGAATTTTCAGTATGATGGTCTCCTCACCTCACAACGCTCACACAAGGGATCATCCGCCACCCATCACGTGCAGGTGGCGCCTCAACGTGTTATGGCCAGACAACAGTCCCACCAGCAACCTTAGGTTGCTGTAGTTTAGCAAGAGTTTTCGTTGCACTGTGCCCTTGTCTGTAGCAAAACCTGATAACACACCGTTGCTCGACATTGATGTCGCTCATTTTTAGAAGACAATAAAAACTGCTCTACAAAAAATCGCTGCGGACAACCAAATGACTCGACCGAGTTCAAACTTGTACTGAAGCCGGATCACATGCTAACAGGTCTCGCTTCTAAGCCATGCACCTCCAGTGTTGCCAGATCGAGCGCTACATTGCCAGTCTCATTATTTAGTTTGCAGACCTCGTATGCGGACAAATGTGACATTCGATAGCTCAAAAACTGTCCATTATCGAACTTGCAGAATTATTTACATCCAATTCATCCCTATCATTCAAAATCGAGCTTAAGTATTTATGAATGATGTATCACAGTAAAACTTTTGATTACACTTTGTTGTACATGGGATCCTGGACTATATATCTGTTGGCGTGCTGACAGTTCGCATCTACGCCAGCGATATTACTAACAGCAGAGGACAAGCTGACTGTATACCTCGTATGTTTTCCACGTACGACAAATCGTGTGAAAGCGCACAAATCACTCTAGAATAAAACGATCAGAACGCGCAGGTCTCCAAATGGCCATCAGGCTCTAAGATATTTCTATAATGCCACCTTTTTTCCTCCGCCATATCCTCTATATATTTTATTCCATCTTTAATCACCGCGATCTGCACATTTCATTTGTTTTATAGCGACAAAAACCAGTAGGTACACTGCTGCTAGCTACGCGTCGCGAGAAGCACCCATAGTGTAGGTATTTAATAAAATGTACCGCAGACAGACATGCAGGTGCGGACTTAAGAGAGAGGAAAATGTAGCTCAAAAATGTACGTTGAATCGATAAATCAGAATCCAAACTGAATATATATTACAGTTCTACAAGGCTTCAAATGCCCATGACTTACAAAGTACAGTACCGATTCCATTCCGTAAAGCACCCTTCTCCATGCAGTCTGCAGCCTTTTTTCTCCACGCAGTTACACTTACGATCTTTAGAGCCTCCTTTTCTTTCCTCCCCTTCCTTCAAGCAGTGCTTTTCTGGCATGTCTGTTTTCCTTCCCTAAGCAATTAATTCTTTGAGCATTGACTGATTTTAAAATTGATGAATCTCCATACATTTCGGCTATTTCGTCATTAGTCCTCCTTCTCCATAGACCTTCACTAATTTCAACCCCAACGTATTTTTGCTGCTCATCAGACATTTTTCTGCATCCGGCCTAATATAATCTTCTTTTAGTCCCTACACCTCTTATTTCTCCATATATTTTGTTTATTCTGATATATCCGTAGTCCATTTTGCCTTGTGGTTTCCAGTAGGTTACAGTAGTATACCGTTTGTAGTTTATCGGTATATGCAATTACGAAACAAAATACACTAATAATATAGCTTGAATTCATCCGACCATAGTAGCTGTTTCATGCTCATTAGCAACTGATCAGTGCGGTACAGGTTTAATCATATATTATTGAAGCTGAGAAAAACATGTGTATTAATATATATTGAGAGGGAATAGTTGTCACCATTTTCTTCATTATATTTTAATCAATAGAAAGTTATCATGCGTATACCGGGTGTACTTTTTATTTGAAATCTCAAATAGTGTCAGGAAAAAGTAAAGACGATTGTCGAAAAAAAAGTGTATGTTCTTTCTGTGTGATGGACTATATACAAGTATACCATAGGCCGTCTCTGTCAAGAACTCCCGTTGTGTTTGTTATAAAATATACAGCTGTACATGTAAGAAAATCTATAAGTGACAAACTGCTACAAAAAGTTGTCAACGAATCAATCTATATTCTGTGAATATTATCACAAGGAATTTTACCGATTTATAGACTTTTAACCATTTCCTTTGAAAGTAGTGTCTCCGGGTCGTCTCTTTTTCTGGTATGATAATGAATAGTTACGAATCCCCTCACTAAAAGAGAAAACAATGCATTAGACTCGTATAAATAACCCCTGGACTAACCAAACTCAAAAAAGTGACAGAAGGACAATCAAACCTAACAACAATGAACCAATAATCCGTTGCCCTATTTTTCAAATTTTTGAGAAACGGAGTTTTTATGGCGATTACCTCAGCAAGCAACAAGAAATAAATGTGAGACAACGTATCATATAAAGTTTTCTGGCTCTTTATCCATAGTGTGCTTCAACATAGTTGCTGTTTCATAGCTATTTTGACAAAAAATGAAATACTCAACCAGAATTAAGCATAAATCACCGACAGTTTTGACTACTGCCTCATTTTTGAAGCACAGAAAGATAGTCAATGCATGCTGCCTTTGTCACTCTAGCGACTGTTGCCTATGAAGCTGGTGTTCCAGTATGACATCTTTTCTACAGGGATATATAAAATATTTGCCTTGTTCTACCTCAAATTACTTACTTCTTCTCTAACAGCTTTTGATGAGGTTAGAAAAGAAAACAAAAAAGCGCTGGAGCATCCTCTTCCATTTCCGCTATTTTTTCGAGTTCCTGTAATTTTTGGACGTAAGCCTAAAGGTAAGCTCCCATTGCAACACATTTGTGCCGCAACATATATTGATAGAGACCGAGAGATGGCGTGGCTGGTCGGTCTCGATTCCAATGACCCCCCTGGATCCGCCCTTGGTGGAACATGTATTTTCAAAGTTGACATAACTACAATAACAAAAAATATGATATACGATTAGGGATGCAAACTTTTTATAAATAATGATATATCGATATCGATATATCGAATTAAGTCGATATCGAAGCTTAAAGAAATTAGAAATCCAACGTTGTTTCAGTTATATCAAACAGTTATCGATGATGTATGTATATAAATTTTTATACTTATGTATGTGAAGTTAAACAAAATTCGGATAGGTATATAAAATGTGTTTTTCTTTCCATACATTTATTTGGGAAATTAATTCCAGTATTTTGTACTAGCTATTGAACTTAAAACTTTGACAGTCTGCTTCCTTGTAGTCGGTTTCTGCTCTGAGTTATAGCGCCTCCTGCTTTTGAAAAAATACGTCGGAAGAAACGCTTGTTGCCACAATTGGTTTCATATCCAACGTCATATTCTTCTGGATGTTTGTGTTTAATATGTGATGCTAGATTGCTTTTTTCCAGATGTTTTAACTCGTTTGTTACAAATAGTGCAAACGGCAGTACCGTCTTCTTTTTGAAATATGGCCATAATCTACTTCTCTTCATATTTTGAAATTAAAATTGAGTATTAATTTATTAGCAATTAGTTACATGTCACATCACAAAACATATACACTTGTCACTTGTCATATCGTCATACCTCATTTTCTAGAGAGTCAGTGTTGTCACGTTGCCAGTCAAGCGTTTTACCCGATTTTGTGGGTATTTTAATTTGGGTGGGTTTTTCGATATTTTGATATGATGTATTGAATTTTTCGATACCGATATCAGCGTATCGTCGATATCGATAAGTAGCGATATTTTTATTTGTCGATATATCGATATTTATCGGTTTTCCGATATATCGTTGCATCCCTATATACGATACGAGATACGAACACGTGCGACCGAGTACGTACGCCGTTTCACACTGCAGGCGCAACCCGAATAAGCGCATACCGCATAGGTCAAAGGGCTTACCAAAAGCCGGACAGGCCGGACAGAACCAAAAAACGCCAAACATGTTCGGCTGAAAGCAGGCGTCTAGCAACCCTAAGCTCGCACCATGTGCCCCAACGGGCATTTAATAACATGTGCCGGCCCTTTTGTTTGGAGAAAATAGAAGTAACTTGCACCAAACATTCTGATGTTACCACAGTATTACTGGTTGCCTAAGGTTAGGCTTTTTATATGAGCAATGGAATGGTATCCAACAAACTAGCTCTGCTCTTACACGCACCTTCTGGAAACATTCAACTTGAGATGTGATGCCTTGTATCAAGCACAACAAAGGTTGGCAGTTCCGTGGTAGTGTTACCTCATCAGGATACCTTAATGAATGGAAATGGAATGTTGTTTCAGGTTACAGGTCGAATCTCAATATTGGCTATTGGCAGACATCAACAAGCCTTTGTTGCTATTCAGACTATCTACATGTACGATGACCGGCTGTATTATACTGGTGGTAATACACTATATGGCATTTGAAGGATCACTTTGTATTGATTAGTACTAACCAAATATATTAAGTGACATATAAATCCGAACACACAGTTTAAATGGTTTTATTTTAATAAAATTTTGTATAAGTACTTAATGAAGCATAATAAGTAAATGATAAAAATTTCAAAATGATTGCACTGCTTTAAAGCCCTTAGACCTTTAATAATGTGTGGATGCACCCTGATGTGCTACGCATTCTCCAACGCGCCTAGGCATGCTTCTGATCAGGTGGTCAATGTCCTCCTGTGGTATCTCATTCCAGGCAACCACCAACTCCTCTCGAAGTGCTTCGAGAGTCTGAGGAGGACGTTGCAAATTGAGCAATCTCCTACCCATCATATCCCACACGTACTCAATTGGGATAAGTCGGGAGATCTTGGTGGCCATGGTGACAATGTGACATCATTATGTTGAAAGAAGTCTATTGTGACTCTTGCAACATGTGGTCGGGCATTATCTTGTTGGAAAGTTGGATCTGCCAGGGTGTCAAGATAGGGTAAAAGATGGGGTTCTAGAACTTCGTGGATATAACGCTGCGCGTTCATGTTACCTCTGATGAAGATTAAAGGTGACCTGGAACCATAAGCTATAGCACCCCAAACCATAACTCCAACAGTGTGATAAACATGTCTTTCAACAAAAAACTGTGGATTCCTCCTTTCACCACGTCGCCTTCTAACCCTGGCACGACCATCGTGCATGCCTAAACAAAATCGAGACTCGTCACTAAAGACAATACTGTTCCATTCCTGATCCCAGAGTGACCGTTGTCTGTACCACTCAAGGCGATTACGTCGGTGTTCTCGAGTTAAAGGGAGGACCCAGTGTGGCCGGTATGAAAACAAGCCAAAACTTCTCATTCGTCGGTAAACACTTCGCATGCCAATAGGTCTTCCGTGTTCTGCAAACCATTCATTTGCAATGGACCTGGTAGTGAAGAAACGGTCCCTTAAGGCCAATAATCTTAGGCGGCGATCTTCACGGTCTGTTGTTCTACGGCGGCGTCCAGTGCCCCTTGCTCTTTGCGTACGGCCTTCTCGAAGCCATGCCTGACAACACCTAACCACAGTGTCTACACTTCTTTGCACTCTAACTGCAATTGCCCGAAAAGAAAGTCCAGCTTCCCGAAGTCCCACTATACGGCCCCTATCAAACTCACTAAGTTGACGAAATCGTACAGGTCTCCGTACTCTAGGCATCGTAACTGATCGTAAAGGATGTCAAGAACCAAAATCCGCCAACGTTGATTCTTTACTGCGGCTGAAATATTCATTTTTAGAGCGTTAGTGAATTAAAAAAAAGCAGTATAAAAACCGTCCAACTGATAAGGCTGAAAATTTGTCCACTTGTTATTTACAGTAAGATAAATACATTCACCAACTTTTATTAAAATAAAATCATTTAAACTGGGTGTTCGGATTTATATGTCACTTATACATTATGCAATATGAAAATAACGATCTCATGTCAAAAAATAAGCCTGGTCGCAAGGATGTAAACAAGCCGCATGAACAACTTGTTATATTGGAAACGTGGCTTAAAACGCCCTAAGGATAGGAATTTGAAAAACCACTCTTGGATAATTTTAATGTCTGTATAAGTTTTTAAGGCTTTTCAAATTTCTTTGTGTGCATATTGAAATATGACTGATGTTCTTTTTGTTCTAGGTTCAACACTACATATTGGTGGTGCAAGCTCAGGATGCAGGATTCCCATCCTTATCCAGCACACTAACTGTATACTGCAACGTCCTAGACCTAAACGATAATGCACCCATATTCGATCCCATGTCATACAGCAACGACATTTTTGAAAACGTCACCATTGGTACATCCGTTGTGACTGTCAGTGCAACAGATTCGGATTCAGGTAAGTCTAGCTGTCGTATAACTGTGAATTGGTAATTATGTAAAAAAGGAACTACCGCAAAAGCCACTAGCACCTTTGTGGATTTATTGTATGTATAATGGTTACGTCTAGTTGTTCTTTTATATAGGGCGGCTGCTATGAGGAGCTCAAAGAATCTTTGTTAATCCGATTTTTGAACTGCCTAACGTTAGTAGAATTGGAAAATGCCTCCTCAGGTAGATTCTTACACAATCTCGATACCTTATGGACAAAGAAGCGGTCATATCGGCCAGTCCTGGATGTACGAAGTTCGACACGGTTAGGATGGGAGGCCAAAGTCAAGCGGCAGGCACAACGCGCAGCGGCAGGCACAACGCGCAGCGGCATTATGGAGGAGAGCTCTGAGAAGCAAAGCTTGTTGACATAGCTGTAGAAGAGAGCTAGATCGCGGACGGCCCATCGGTGCGAAAGGGTCCTGAGGCTGTCCGTTAGAGAAGCACCTCAAACATGTTAGCCGTACTCGAGGCCAGGTCTTATCTGGGTCTCGTGCGGAGTTAGTAGGTTATAAGCTTAACTTAGCCTGGTGCTCGGTGATCTGTACTCCGACCATCCGAAATGAACGACTGTGGGATATATAGGATTATACATATGAAATGTACGTTAGGATGATATAATTAAAGGCTTATCCAGCACAAACAGTTACCGAAGCCGGTATCAAATAATGGTATAATTAAAGGCTGAATTTATTCTAATTCAGTAACACATGGATTATTATAATTTATGAATTATAACGAGGAACTATTGTTTGTCTCTATCTAAAAGCTTAATCATAGTTACGCTACTTGCCCATTATATTTTTCTTCATTTTTGACGAAACATTTCCTGATTACTTTAATAGCCTTGTTGCACAAAACTTAAGATGAAGAAATGTAATCAGTGTATCTATCAGTTAGAAAGCTTTATATCGATTACTAGTAATTTGCGATCTCTGAAAAGATTTAATGATATGAACATTTATAATAAAATCTATATTTCTTGAAGAACGCCGCATCAAATCAAAATGTCGCAATTAAAAGTCAGTATGAAAACTATGCTATCGTAAAAGGTTTATTTTTTCTTTTACTATTTTATCAATTCTCAGACCATTATGATGATTAGGAACTCCAGATTCATTACATTCTGTAATAGATATTCAGTTATACATGGTTCGTCAGAAAGACCGCATGTTTTTTAAATGAGTAGTACAGTCAAAATAAGTATGGGAAAAAATATTTTATTATATCAAAATACAAAGAAATACATGCCATTTTTTGAGTAAAACAAAATGTACGTTCTATGTCGCCCATAGGCGATATTCCATGGCCCCCTCGCTTCCCGGACCTGTTAACGAGTGATTTTTTCTATGGCGCTATCTGAAATCAAAAGTTTACCAAAGCAAGCCTCAGACCCTCGTCGATTTGAAGGAGGAAATAAGAAGAGAAGTATCCCAAATTCCTGCACGGATGCTGGCCGACGCAATGGGCTCATTTCGGGAGAGGCTTGATTCCTGCATTTCGGCTCAAGGGCGCCATATGGGCGACATAGTGTTTAGAACGTAAATTTTGTTTTACTCAAAAAATGTATGTATGTATGAGTATTTTGATATGATAAAATATTTTTCCCGTACCTATTTTGACTGTACTACTCCCTGTACATGTGACGTCAAATTATTTGGCCATACAAGGAATGTATCAAGTGATAGATCCAATAAAATTAACTACGATATAGTTGTGTTTCATCAAGAACTAGTCCATAGATGTTTTAAGCTCCACAGGTCGTCCTCCTTATTCTTATTGTTCTCTCTTTCTTCATTAAATTTGCTGAACAAGGCTTAGGGTGAATAGCTAGACTGCCACTATAGTTGTTACAACAAATCCGAATTGTATCTTCCACATTAAGTATTTTTGTGTAATCACCATGTATCTAACATTATCTGTAGTACAACAGGATAGGTGCCCTAATTTGTTTTTTCTCTCCACTATTGTATCATTTCTCCTTTTTTTACTTCACACCCTTTAACACCTTTCGATCTCCAAAACTTCGAATCATTGTAATATCTAACAAATTTGTGCTCTTCACGTCAACCGTTATTCCGACAGTTTGTCGTTCATACATTTATTTCCAATGCTCTGTTCCCGACACTTTATTGGAGACTTGATTTTTTAAACTTTTATTATTACCTTCAAGTAGTCTCGAAAAATGTTTGACGATGTTAAGTTTTCTGAGTTAGCAACAAAAAATCGGTCGATCGAAATGCCTTTTACCGTAAATCAAACTGTTGCACAAGCTTGCCCAGGCACGTTGTACTTTTTACATAGTCTGCTTCTGCTGTATTTAACAGTACTGTCAAGAATACTGCAGGTGCGACTCCATTCTTTCGTTAAAAAAATAAAATTTGAGAAGTAAATAAGTCCAATTGATGCAATTAAATGTTTTTGTGTGAGTCTTCGATCAGTTAAATACTTTAATTGCCACTATATATGAGACCTAATGACACCAATGCTAAAGAAATTTGTTTCGGTTCTTTCATTACGCCAATACCGCTATTTTTGTACCAGTAACATAAAATTTAAGATAGCAGATACATTCACTGTCAAGATTTACAAGTGACCGTTATAAATGCGTTCCTCAGTTTTTGTTATACTGTCTCATCAGATACCTACAACTTTGACTTCAAGAGAGTAAAGTGAAGATTTTGCATATAGATCGTTTTAAAGATAAAAGTAGTACACACACATACACCAGTTTTAGTTGCCCAAAATGATGGGGATCCGCGAAAAGTTATATCGTCGACTAGGAAAGGCTGCTGTGAACCATGACAGCTGAAATGTAAAGCTAACCTTTTATTGTTCGAAGGTTTTGATTGTTGGTCAGATAAACGCACGAAGGGTTACAGAGACAATCACAATTGCAGGTGTTACATGTTTTTTTAATAGTCACGTCCAAATATCTTAACTATCGGGTGAATTCCTAAATGGATGAATGACGCGATTTCCTATCATTTATTAATTTTCAATACAATGGTTAAGGGATGGTAGGTATGCCACGAATAATGGTCACTAGAGAAGTTTTCACTTTTTTAGCGAAATAAAATAGTTGGAAAAACACCTAAAAGTTATGATTCTTGGTATGGTTGTCGTACTTGTGACGGAAGTAGCAATCAGTGCGATATTCATACAGAGACTCGTACAGAGATTGACTAACTTTAAAAATGACTTATCAACTCTACTGCGTTCCGGAACAATAAGCACTATCCTGTATGCACAACCATTTGATGCATATTCTGCATGTTCCTCTTTGTAACAACGTCCATTTTGTGAAGCATCAGGAATATTCAAGTGATCATTTTCAAAACGATATGCAACTATCAGATTCAGCTGGGCTTGGGCAGGTACAATAATATAAAAAGTCATTTAACTATGGCTCAAAATGAATTGGAACTAACGTATATCGTCTACAGTAATATAATTAGAAGGTCAATTATTATTTCAGGTAGGATTAAGATTTTATAGCCACTCTCATGCAGACAAACTTTATAGATCCTTTCTTTCAGCCTTTCCTCTCCAAAAACAGAATATTCCCTAAAACCGTTTAGCTCGTTCTCCATGCATCTCACCGTGCAGCATTTCGTCATAGTGGGTATCTTCTTCTGTACATACGCTTGTATGTATATGCATGCCCTGCAGACAGAGAAATCTATTGTTGGTTTGTCTGCTTTGCTTGTCACATACCTCATCATTCGCCTTAACATTGGTTGCATTTCAACTCATTTACCATCATTTAGATGATTGGCAAAATTGTCAGCACTGAACCTCTCGCCGAGTGCTAGTTCGAGTTATCTCTGGAAGTCAACCCACCTACTGCATTCGAGTAGATGCACAGGTTCAGCAGTATCCTCATCGTCAAAGCAATATGTGCAGTTCGTGTATTATCTTTCTCCTATCCGATTTAGTAATCTATCTGCACTGCACCCTTATCAATAGAGTCCTTACTGTCTGAAATCAGTCACCTACTCCGCGCTTCATGGCTAGTCGTGTCCCATCTTCTAGTATTTCACAGTCCACCTTTGGACATAGGTCTCCCCAATCGTTGTTCACTTTACTCTTTTTGTCGCTATATTCATCTTCGTTGCCACTTAATATATAGCACCTCCCTTTCATTTCAAGCTCCTGCACCCTTCTTGCGAATGCACACATTTCATTAGATAATAAACCTATTGGGATTCCAGTCACCACCAACAGCGCCTCCATCGATACCGTTCAAATCATCCACAGTACTTCTTTCCGCTGGCATTTGAGGATTGCCTATATTCCTCCTTTTTCGATGTCTTTTCATAGATTGGTGTCCCATATAACATAATCGAGCTCACACCAGCCATTAATCTTCGTTTCTTACCACTGGGCCTACTATCAGTTGGCAGCAATTGAGTCAAGGAAGCACCATCTTCATTTGCTTTTCACACTGTGCGCCTTATGTGCTATGTCATGTTTTGTGCTTTGTCATACGCCCAAGTATTTAATTGCACGCGGACTGTGTATCTCGGCGTTTACTGACAGTGAGGTTAGCTTTTGCCCATCCGAGAATATTAGCTCATTTTTTTGGGAGCTGGATTAGGTCATTTCCTGGTCTTGTTATTCTATATGCCAGGAGAATCTTTAACGTATCTTCCTTGTGCTTGTTACCAGCATTGCCAGGTTGTCAGCATACCCTATCAAGTAAGCTACTGGTAACATCTTACGCCGTAAATCGTAGAACATTTTTTGGGTTGAGGATTGTATACACCGGCACGGGTATTACGTATCTTAAAAAGTGACATCATGCCGATTTTTTTGACAATGTTTTGTTTTTTCTGACATTATGTAGGTTTTTCTACAAGATGTTAACTTAACACTTAGTTGTACGTGTTGCCTAAACGTCATGAGGCATCAGTTATCAATGTTTGGCTCTGATGTAACGTAACATCTGCTTCAGAGCTGGCATTA